ACAAGTGTAATAAATGTGGTAAGGTTTTTAATCAACAAGCACACCTTGCATGTCATCATAGAATTCATACTGGAGAGAAACCTTACAAGTGTAATGAGTGTGGTAAAACCTTCCGTCACAATTCAGTCCTCGTAATTCATAAGACAATTCATACTGGAGAGAAACCTTACAAGTGTGATGAATGTGGTAAGGTTTTTAATCGAAAAGCAAAGCTTGCACGTCATCATAGAATTCATACTGGAGAGAAGCATTAGAAATGTGAAGCATGTGACAAAGTTTACAGTTGCAAATCAAGTCTCAAAAGACAGGAGAATTCATACTGGAGAGAAAGCTTACAAATGTAAGAGTTTGTGATAAGGATTTTGGGCATGATTCACAGCTGACACAACATACTAGAATTCACACTGGAGAGAAACTGTACAAGTGTAATGAGTGTGGCAAAGCTTTTGGTGGGTAGTCAACACTTACCATCAGGAAATCCATGGTGTAGAGAAACTTTACTAATGTAATGATTGTCACAAAGTCTTCAGTAATATTACAACCATTGCAAATCATTGGAGAATCCGTAATGAAGAGAGATTTTAAAAGTGTGATAAATGTGGCAAATTTTTCAGACATTGTTCATACCTTGCAGTTCATCGGCAAACTCATACAGTAGAGAAACCTTACAAATGTCATGATTGTGGCAAGGTCTTCAGTCAAGCTTCATCTTACGCAAAACAAGAATTCATAGAGGATAGAAACCTCACAAGTGTGATGATTGTGGCAAAGCCTTTACTTCACGTTCACACCTCATTAGACATCAGAGAATCCATACGGGAGAGATACCTTTACAAATGTCATAAGTGTGGCAAGGTCTTCAGTTCGAGGTCACTCCTTGAGGAACATCAGAAAATTCATTTTTGAGATGATTGTTCCAAATGCAATGAGTATAGCAAACCATCATGCATTAATTGGCATTAGAGTCAATTCAGCATTGACTGGAGTTTGAGTTGACTTAACATTGAGTTCAAGCATTAATTGACATTGAAGTGTTTATGTTTAGAAGATTGGGCCAGGCAGGGTGGCTCACGCCTGTAATCCCAGCACTTTGGGAGGCCAAGGCAGATAGATCACTTGAGGTCAGCAGTTTGAGACCAGACTGGCCAACAGATGTGAGTCACTTTTCCCAGCCTGTTTTTTTGTTTCCTTAAGAAAAACTGATAGGGATTTTTGTGGGTATGTGTTGAAAATCACATTTGTTTGAATAATCATTTAACAATATTAATACTTCCAATCCATCAATATGGGTTATATGTCTATTTAGTTTTTTTGATCAATGTAGATTTCAAGGTACAAGCTTCTCACCTTAATTCAATTTATTTGTAAGTATTTCTTGCTTTAAGTTTCATAGCAAATTGAAGTGTGTTCATAAGTTTCTTTTAACATTATTTATTGTTAATGTAAGGAAATTCAACTAATTTTGGGTGATGATTTTTTGTATTCTGCAAATACACTGAATGGGTTTATTAGTATCAGTAAAATCTTGGTTGAGTCTTTGTGATTTTCTTTCTTTTTTTTTTTTTTTTT